GCCCCACTGCCTCTCCTAGGAAATCTGAGTTAGTTCAGTGTGAGAGGTGTGCAAGAACTGGCTGTTGTTAAGTATGTAGATCTGATCACTATTATTAGAAAACAGTTCTGCTGCATGAACTAGTGCCAAGGTTTGTATTTTGGAAGAAGTCTTCCTACATTTCTCATGGAATGAACCTTCTGCTGACTCAGGTAACTCAGAGCAATAGAAGGTTATGAGTCAGATATATTATAAATCCTACGTGGAAAGGTTTGAGTGCAGGGCAGATCATTAGCCTACCATTGGAACAATGTCTAGGAATGCTCTTGCTCTCAGTAGGTTTAAACCAAGGACATAATTTGAATGAAAGAATATGTTAGGAAAAAAATAGTTTCTAGAAAAATAAACTATCTGGTTAAAATAAATTTGGCTAGAAGTTGATGTCAGGGTGGCTTTATGACATAGGCAGACCCCAAGAAGTTTGTAGGTATTGGCAGTCCAACCCTATACACACTGAATGATCATAGACCTTATTCACATGACCCAGAACCTTTTTTTTCTTAACATGGTACTGCTTTTCTCAAGTGCAACAGTGAGATTGAGCCAGTTGGAGGACCTGTCCCACCATTCACTTTCTTTGACATTAATTATTTCCAATTCCTGAATTTAGATAGACTCAGATTGACTTTTGGCCCAAATGACTGTGTAGTCTTGAGAGGCCTAAAGAGCTAGTTTTACATGGGATCTTTTTAGCTAGATTTTGTATTCATTAAATAATTCTCATGAACACAGTTCTAAGATCATAGTACTTTGGACACAAAATGTCTTGGTAGCTCTCCTGGACATTTCTTAGTCACGTTTGCCCTAGGAGGAGTATTTCTTTCTCTTTGGCATTTGATTCATATTTATTACAACTTCTTTGAAAAATAATGTTTGTAGCTTGCATATTGGGGTAAATAATTTTCAAAGCAAAGTTTGTCATTGGGTGCATCAACATGTATTACAAATAAAAACAGGTATTCTTTATATTTTAATTGCAAATACAGTTTTGAGAGCATTGGTTTAGATTATTTCAATTGAAAATGTGTAGGGATTTATGCAAACTTCAATTAAGCACTTTTTGTACTAAAATGTCAATGGCAATTTTAGCATTGACTTCAAAACCCACATAAATTTCTGAATAGCAGCCTGGTCACAGAACCATAAAATAAATTTTTTATTTATTTGCTCTTTACCTTCTTGGTACAAAATTGGCTGAAGACTATAGACAAATCCAAAACTTATTTGTAGCAGTTATCTTGTATGTGCTGAGCATTAAAGATTGATCTAATTCTCACTGATGAAAACAACAGAAAAAACAAGCCTCAAATAGAAAGTGAAGTTTCTCTCTGTATGTCTGCTGCAATGAAAACTGTGGATGGCTGCCTCTAACTGAACCTTTAGGTAAAATGCTAAAGTCTTTATGAAGGGATTGAAGAGCCAGAGAGACAGCACCTATTTCCTTCCCAACACCCTCTGTAGGTCTGTCCAAGTATCTAGAAGGAGTAAACAAAGGAATATAACACGGGGAAGACTTAGTGGTTTAGGAGTCTGTTTCAGAGCACTAGGAAAGAGAACAGGTGTCTGACCTAATGCATACACAGTTGGTATAGTAGGTAAGACTGGGTAAGTGAGACCAGGCCAGACAAGCAAAGACCTGAGAACATATTTCCAATGGATCAGGATTGTCACACAGCAGAGGAAGGAGGAAAAAGTGTCAAATAGTCAATTCAGACCTGGAGATCTTGGTTTTTTTATTGCCTGTGCTGTCTCTGTGAGCGTCAACTCGTGATAAAGTCAGTGACCTCCCCACAATGCTCCACACTTGATTTTAATCCACTGGGTTAATCCTGTGGTGTTTTTGACCCTAGTTCACTACCAATGGTATTCCTTAAGTAGCTGAAAGTCAGATCAGCTTTGGGAGCTACTGAATACTTCGATTTCTCATAGACCAAGGGAGCTGAAAGCAAATATTAAAGCAGACTGAAGCTGTCAGTTTGAAGGAGGCAGGAAAGAATGTTTAATTTTTCAGGGAATTAATTTAGCAATTAATTTAGGAATTTATGAATTAATTTATCTTTCATTCTCTACCACTGTAATTCTTTCACTGTAATATTTTGAATACATTTTCATCAAGGAAGAGTATTTGCTTAAAACATTGCATAACGTTGCTACCCTCAAAACCTGTTGTTTTAAGCATTATTTATTTAAGAAAGGAGGAGTAGATACTCTGATGGTATTAATATGTGCCAGGATAAATATGACTTTCACGTATTCTCTGAGTCAATACTAACTTAGAATGAAACTCTTATAATTGATAGAAATCATACAAAATATAACTGATGGAAGTGCAAAAACAGGCTGTACTGGATACTAATAATTCAAAGCCACTTTCATTATACCTAATAGTTGTAATATTGCAGATACTATACATGGCAAAGTTTGAATAAAATTAAAAAGATAACACGGTTAATAATCACACATGCAGAATCTACTTCTTTACCTTTGCATATTTAACATGGTGGATAATGAGAAGAGAAACATACATAATTTAAAGCAGTTCTAGGACACAGTCCAAAATTCCATGTTTAGGATGCTCTATCAGCCAGATCAGATGTCTTGCCAGAATGTAAAATTTGAAAATATCAAATAGCTGTGTATTTCATTTTCTGTCATGAGGCTAACATTCAAGTCAAGGACAGAAGTTAAATCCTTTGATACATACAACAGGAAAACAACTGTATTTTAGGTCCATTTGTTCTTTCTATTGGCAGATGATAAGAAACCTCCTCCTTTCAGCCTGAAGGTGGTTCACTAAAAACTGGATTTTATGATACCTATCTATCATTTGCAGAAGAAAAGGACAGGATGTTACAGAGAACCAAATGGTACTATTCCTGAAATGGTTTTTGATGATGGAATCGAGTGCACCCTCAGCAAGTTTGCTGACGACACCAAGCTGAGTGGTGTGGTTGACACG